AATCTAGGGTGATAGACATGACCGCCTTGCATCCAGGTTTGAGCTTATCCCCCGAGCTTCGCAAAAAGTGCCCCAAACGAAAATATGTAGTTTTTATCAAAGCCGCTACAGGTAAGTGAAGTGCACCCTTTAAGGTTGAATTGTTTGCCTCAGCCAAGTTGGTCGTCATATGTCCATATCGATATCCACCATCATATGGGTTCGTAGACATTTCTTTATCGACGAGGCTAATGTAATCGTATCATTCCTCGTTTTTCGCTCGTAAATCTTGAAGCATTGATTCAAACGTTTAAGGAAGTAGTTCGTAACCTGATCAAAAAATGTATAACTTACTAACTTGCTTTCTTTGTAAAATTAAAATGATTGAAAGAAAATAAACTACATCAGTTTCACTTACCCATGCGCACAATTAATTGACGCTCATCATTCTTCTTGTACCTTCCATGGTAGTTCGCATCAATATGTCGGAGACAATACCTATGTTGGACAAAGGGTGGCTTCCACATTGGACCCAAAGACTCCATTGTTGCTTTGATCTCAGCTTCGCGATCTAAAATGACACATATTTTTTCCTCGTGATAACATGTGCACGTAAGTTTCGGAGAAAAAAGCCCAAGAATCTGTATCTTTTCCTTCAACAAGAGCAAAATCAAATGGAAGAATGTTACGATTGTCATCTTGGACAACTGCCAATAATAATACTTGCTTGTTTTTTCCATACAAGAAAGTCTCGTCGATCTGGACCATAGGCTTGCAATATTTGACAACATTAACGCACTGTGGGTAAGTCCAAAAAACCTGGTAGAATTGGCATCGATCGCGAAGAACTCGGTCATTATGGTATGCATAGGAGGTTTCAAAGTCCACAATTGTCCCAGGATTCAACCTCCGCACCAGCCTAAACCATCGTGGAAGTTCGTTGTAAGATGCATCCCATTCGCCATGAAGTTTGACAATGGTATTTTGTTTTGCTAACCAAGCTTTTTTATAGGAGACACTGTACCCATACTGCGATTGTATAGCTGAAATCAACACATCAACAACTATATGAGAGCTTGCTTTTACCATGGGCATGATGGCTTGGCATATCACTTCAGAGTCCAAGTTGGGATGATCTTGGTTGACCCCTCCAGCACAACATGTGTGAGGACAGTTGTATACTGTTAGTTCCCATCTGTTGTTTTTTTCTCTTCCTCTTCGATACGCGAACCATCCAATTGCATCCGTTTTCGTGTCGTGTACACTAGCATACATATTTTTCTGTCGTGGAGCATCAACTCTCGATTGAACAGAATTATGGATATTGCAATTTTTTATAGCCATAATCGCTTCTTCTTTTCTTGAAAACTCCATGCTTAAAGATAACTCACCATTATTTATTGATGAGTAATATCCATAGTTACCGAGATGAGGCATATCCGCAAATTCTGGCCCGTACATTGTACCATAATCAGCTTCATAGATGTGTGCTGGAGGGTCAGCTTGTGCCACATTTGAGGGAGCTTCATCTACATCATCATCGGAGTTGAATTGCGGTGATTCTAGGTGAATGAATAGTCCAGTCTCAGCACCATCCGCACCAGGCTCACGAAGCGGTTCTTCTGGCGGATATGATGGTTCCTCCATGCTCTCTACATTTAGGTTGAAGAACCTACTACTTGCATGTCTTCCCCTTGAACTAGAAGGCATATTGACATTGAGATCGAAAAAGCTCGCAGTGGAATGCCTCCCCCTGGAGATTGAAGTCATCGTGTCAAATGGAAACTGTACAGATTGTTGCATCGATGGCATCTCCATATTAAGGTCAAAGAAATTTGCAGATGAATGCCTTCCCCTTGAACTGGACGCGATGTTGCCATACGGATTGTTTGTGGACTCACCTCGGTACATATCGTAAGGAGTTGTGGATGAATGTCTCCCCATTGAAATTGATGTGACGGTACCATGATGCGGATTTCCCATTATGGCGTTAAAATCATTACATATTACTATAGTTGGGTGTCAACTTGATCAACTTGTTCAGCTAGCCCATAGTGGGAGCTTAATGACTGACCCCGAACAGCACACACTTGAACAAACTTTGCATACATCTCAACATCGGCGTCTGAATGATTACTTTGAGAATCAGCCATCATTTTAACATCATCATTGTTCAATAGTTCGAACGCTGTATAAGTTAATGGCAACAATGATGTTGGAAATCTGTACTGCAACGACGACATTCTTCTATTACTTCCAACATGAACCTTCCTCGAAATCTTCGTTATCAGCTCCTCAAGATTTATGTTTCTCTTGAATGATATTTTAACACTCTCATTTGATACGAAAACAACGTCGGTTTCATCTTCTCAAATTTCTCCATCATAATAAACAATAGTTGAAAGTCGCACCATTCTTAGAATTTAAAAGTACGACAATATTATATCTGCAAAAAAATAACTAAAACAAACCTGATTAAATAAATAATATATGAACGAAAATATAACACAATAAAATTTTTACACATGAACGTAAATAATTTAAATAATATAATTTTATATTATTACATGCACCGCAAAAATATTTCGACATATGCTTCCGCTTTCCAATTTTACAAACACAGAAATTAATTGAAAACAATTAGTATAATATTTTTTCAAATAATCATATATAATTATAAAAAAATAATATAACAAAATTACCTTATAACGAAAGATCGAACGAACTTCTGAATTAAATATAAGAGGATTGTCGGGTGTTATTTACTGGTTTTAATGATTGTTGGTGAGAGAGTTTACGGGGAGAGAGTTATTTATAGCCTAGAGAGGATGGTTTAAAGCTGAGAAGTTCGGGTAAATTATGCAAGACGCGGTCCCTGCACCGCACCTTGCATTATGCATATCTGATAATTGAGCATGTGATAATTGAAAAGCGCGACCCCTGCACCGCGCTATAGCCCTACGTAGAGTAAGGCGCGCCTCAGGGGACACGCTATAGCCACGTGTATCCAACTCAGCATAAAGTGCGCTGCAGGGGGCGCACCTTACTGCAAAAGGTGTTAGATCAGAAAAAATTGTCTGAAGAGTGCATGACAGAAAATATATAATATATAGGTGATATATCGGGAAAAACGCCAAAAATAAGTCTCATTAAATTCATACATAAATATTTTACTAATGGTCACTTAACTTTTAGACTTTTACGTTTTTCTCACTAAAACCCCTTTCAATTTAGTTACTAATTTTAGAATACTAATGCTTAACAAAATAATCACTATTCCTTTTTTCAGCACTTTAGATTGTGTAAACTAATCTAATGTCACATATTTTATTCAAAATTTAAGATATAAAATTTAGAATTCATACTCAAAATTTTAAAGTTCGTGATTTAAGAGTAAACTTTAAGATTTAGTATTTAAGATTAAAATAGATAACTTGTATAAAATAAGTTTTACATAATTGTGTATCAAATAATAATTCACTTTTATAGTGCAAAGACTAGGGTCAATTTGATATTGTTTTTTGAAAAGTGTAGTTAGAATGTATTTTTTAAAAGTTAATTTGAACATTTTAGTTTTGAAATTACTCGATAAAAAGTACTTTTGAGAAAATAAACTTTTCATTTTAGATGTGATAATTTATTTTTTAAAAGTTAATTTTAACATTTTAGTTTTGAAATTACTCGATAAAAAGTACTTTTGAGAAAGTAAAATTTTCATTTTAGATGTGATAATTTATTTTTTAAAAGTTAATTTTAACATTTTAGTTTTGAAATTGCTCGATAAAAAGTACTTTTGAGAAAATAAAATTTTTATTTTAGATGTGATATTGTAAATAAAAAATAAATTAAATGGTGTTTAAATTTGTCAAAACTAAGATTCTATTTATAATTATCTTAAATTATTAAAAAACTATTACTGTGATATATAAAATAAATCAATTTAAATTATGATGAGAATGTAGAAATTATGATAACTCGTGAGTAATGTTTTGATATATAAAATATAAATTTTAATTTTTTAAATAATTAATATAAATCGTTGATTTAAATTAAAAAATTAATCTCCAAATTATATATTTTTACACTAATATAATATATCTAAATATTTCTAAATAATCAATTTCTTAAAACTATAAATTACTTGCACAATATTTGATCCCAATAAATTATCAATACTTATTTACATTATTATAAATTAGTTATTTTTCATTTAAACCTAAATTATTTGTAAAATTTAATAACTATTTCTTATAAAATTTGATCCGAATAAGGAACACAGTAGTGCAAAGACTAGGGAAATAAATGAGTTATTTCTTATATTAAATCTTTGTTTTTTTTTTACTAATTATGTCTATATGACACATTTTTGTCTTCTTTTTTGATATAAAATAACTCTGTCTTTATAACACATTTTCGGTTATTTGTCTTATTTTTTTAGAATTAGATCTAATATTGCCTCGACTAATGAAGATAATGCTTATTTGCATTCTTGTTCACCTTCCCTACTTTGGAACCAAATATTAGATTTAAATACGCTATTTACGTTTGCGAATAATTTTCACATGTCGCTCATCTCTAATTTATGATTTTGTCAGTGATATTTCAATAATTTAATCTCTTTTTGTAATTCATTTATCAATGCAATCATAATTGTTCGTATCTATATTTTATTTGAATTTATTAATTAGATTTTTAACGTTTTCCTGGTATAACTATAATATGATCTCAAATACTTATATATCAATGATTATAGAAAAATATCTTAATTACGTGTTTAGTTTACAATTATGATTATAACATCTTATTATAACTTTAGATATTTTATTTTTAATAAAATTACCTGATTCCATAAAAAATGAATATATAAAGTATATTTTCGACATTATAATTATACGTGTATGTCCATTAATTGAACAATCAATTAAAATTAAATAAATAAAAGTTCAATTCTACTTCAAAAAGTACTTTTCCACGTCAAAAGCTGAAGGAAAATTACGTGACAATGCACATCTATATTATATCTTGCCAGTACTACGTGTTTCTAAGCTTTCTTTTTCTGTTTCATCTTTCATAGGTAGTTTACAAACTCAGGACATACATATAACTCCATCAACCTTTTTGTAATCTTCATTACATTTATGTTTCGCTAGAAAGAATACCTGATTATGTTCTCAGTTATCATAGGATCCACAGTCCGCAGTAACCGGCCATGGTGCATGATCTTCTTCTACATGTAGTCGAGTCAACTCCACATTCCTCGTCGTCGAAACACCTATGATCGGCACGAGAATCAGGGATGTGGCATGCACTCTCGATCTGTTGGAAACCGTATCCCGGCCTCAAAGCCATTGCTGGACACTCTCGTAGAGACATCGCACTTGCACGTCTTGTTTGCTGTTCACCCTGCACCATTTATTCTCGCACACGTTTACCACAGCGTTTTCTTGCTATATCACCAGTTAGGATGGTAAAATTATGTTATTTTTATAAATGGATGATTAAGAGAACAACAGAAGGGAGACCTTTGCATAAGTCCAATAGGTAGGGATGTATGTCTCGGGAAGCCTCTCGTGCCAAGAACTTAATATCGGAAGAGGATGACCCTCGGTTGTGAAAATATAATTCTGATCGACCAGAAAAGAATCATCGAAAAGAAGATACAAATACTTACACCTAGAGAAAATGGAAGACAGATGAAGAAAGACGGCAGATTTGAAGGATGCATTTTTATATAGTTATAGTATAAAAGGCTGAAGAAGGGAAGAAATAGATATAAAAACGTAATCTTACGTTTCAGCAAGAAAGAAGCTATGTTGATGATCTTCTAATTGCATGGTCGTCACATCTCTTACACTCGCAAAACCTCCTTCTACTTTGGTATATGAATTAAGAGAATTGACAATTGATTCACCAACTTGTATGTACCAAGGGTCTACATTTAGAAAGAGTTTTTTCGAGCTATCAGAAAATACAACATAAAGTGAGGAGAAGAAAAACAAAGAATATACAGCCAATAAAGAAGATATGCCGACCTCTGGTAGCTTGATAGAGGTAGAATGTGGACTCTGCCAACTCAGGCCGCAGGGGATAATACTTCTCAGTAGGATGTAACATCTGATGGTCCAGTAAGTACCTAGAGCATTCTATATTTCAGGTTACTATTATTCGGAGGGAAAAGGAACATGATGAAATTAACCACATGTAGATATTCACACCCAATAACCATAAGCTCATAAAATTTGGAAAGCTCAAATACCTTTCCGGTATAACTCCAAATTTCTTCCACACATGAACGAACTCACGGTGTGATGAATTAGCAGCTGCAATATCACCCACGAGAACCTAATACAATAATTCAATAATCGAATTAGAGGACTCTTTCCGTGCTAATAAACTGGGAATCTGATGTCGGGGGCTTCAGTTACTTGCCTGTAAACCGGGCCAAAACGCTTGCAAACTTGTAAGTTGCCAATATGTTGCTTTTCCTGTCCTCATATCCGCTTCATGGTACCTTTATTACAATCATATTCTTATAACCAGTCGGTGCTAATTTGTAAATCTCTCAAGTTATTGTAATAGCTAGCAATCAAAAGGCGCCTTCTTTACAATACTGTTTTAAGAGCTTGGAATGTGTCTTTTACATTAAATAATAAAAAAAAATAGAATCTTTCTAAAATTCAAATTACCAATAGTCATATGAAAAATGGTGATAGAGAAAGTCAATAAGATCTACAGAAACGAGAAAAAAAAATATTGAAGACAAAGTAATGAAATTACTAAGCCTGGATACCTTGGTCTTTTCAGGAAAAATCCTAAAAGATTTTCTCTCAAGTATTTCAACCAATTCTCTGATTTTCCATGTCATTACTAATATAAATAGTGAGTAAATAATATGATCCTACAACATAAACTAGCTTTCCGGTTTAAACTTGTGCTGAGACCTACAGTTTAGACAAGTTAATGGAATTAAGCTAAGAAATATTTTTTTCACATATTCAGCATGCTATTATTACTTTGGTTGAATATTACTAAGAATAATGCAATCTACTCGGAACAAATGAAATTGATATAAATATTTAATAATATTTTGTGCATAAAGAACGAGCTGACACTGCAAATGATCAAAATAGAATGGTTATGGTAGTGTGTTGCTCAAACTCCAAAGAATTAGATATAGTTCACTTTTTGTTAAAAAAAATTCTCCTTATACGACATTTGTTGGTTACATTATGGACATGGACGCATCAAGAAATATAGAGTTTTAGGACCCTTCTGCATCAACAAATGACCAATTTGATTCGGGGATTGGGAGTACGGGAGCTTAGCATCAATGGATTTATATAAACTTCAACATGAAACAACATATCAAAACATTCAACTAAACGGAAGAAGTGTCATCAATACAGTACCAAGGACCATGTCTGAAATACTTCTGTACTGCAAGATAAGCAGATTGAAATATTCTCCAATAGTCCTCCTTTCCAAAAAGAATATAAGCCTTCAATAGGTACTCATAGAATGAATCAACTCCTTAAAAAAGCCACACAAAAGCTAACATCAGAAACTTCATGATTATGACATAAAAGGCTTAATTATGCAAATCATAAATGCCATCCATATGACCAAACAATGCCAATATGTATTAGCGACTCCCTATACTGAAGGATATATCTTGCACGACATCAGAGCACAGATATTACATACCAGCACCAATGCCAGATGAATATTCAATCCATTCTCCAGTAGTTACATCCAGTGTTGTTCCTAGTAGATTTAATGAACTGCGCATGCTCCATAATTTACGCAGAGCACGTAAAGCAGCAGATTCGTATCTAGGGTCACCCGTTAGTCGTGACAATGCTCCCATTTCAAGAATCAGAGAACCTAAAAAAATTGGAAAAACTGACTATTTAAGGATAACATATTTTATGATATACACATTTTAGTTCTTACATCGTTCTACTAAGAGTCTTACCACACCCTGATGTGCTTGTTTCAGTAATCTCATTCTCCATTACTCCATACTGCCCACAGAATTTTGCAATGATGTGGAGTCATATATCCTCTTAACAAACATAATCAACAGAACATATTCGTACTCCAAGAAATTAAAAGGTACATTTCTGATTAAGAAGATCATGTGAGCTCAGAGAAATCTCAAACATGTCAAAAAGAGAAAATCAGCCAAGCATCAAAGTGTCTTAGCTTTTCTAAAGGTTGTCAGCTAGATGGTTTGCAGCACCCTATGTTTTAAAAGGCGCGAGGCGCTCCAAGGCGATTAGCTACCCGAGAGCCTCAATTTTTTAGGCGCTTTGAGGCGAGGGATTCATGTACGCGAGGCGCTTCTTTTGAGTTCCACATAACCTTTCCCCCTCTCTTGGATTCCAGAAATAATTGTATTGACACCATGATCCCTGTCACCCCTACTCGGCCCTACAGACAGCCACTGGATCAAAACATCATCCGTTTCAGTTTGCAACTCACCATTCTGCCCCCCAATAGACTTCTCATTCCCAACCCACTTTACAGGCCCAGTATGGTTGGATTTCATAATTGAAGTAGGTGCAACACCATAGTCAACCGAACGTGCAGAATCATCCGAGAAGTTTGTATTTCTCGATTCCAGACCCACGTGCTTCCCACTTTTTTTTTGTCCTATTATCACTGCCAACTGGAAACCCACTAACTTCTAACATACTTGTTTTAACATTGTGCCCATCTTCTTGATCATCCTTATCTTGGCCCAAGGTGACAACCCCCATGCTTAAACTCCTTTCTCTCCCATCAATACAAACCCCCGACACAATCTGTTGCCCTGGAACTCCACCTAATACTGTCTCCTCATAACATAAATGGGTCATTGTACGTGAATCGCTAAAAGCATCGCCTCGTCGCCTCTCGCCGCCTCCGACGACTGAATCGCCGCCTCATGTACTCGCCGCCGCCTTGGTGGTCGGAGGCTTTCTTCTAAACGCCTCGCCTCGCCTAGCGCCTCAAAGCACCTCAGGCGCGCTTTTTAAAACACTGGCAGCACCATTTTTAAGCACATTCTCTATTTAACATCTAGTTTATTACCACCACCACTAAATATTTGCATGCAACAGTGGCCATCACAAAGTGTCTTATATTTTGAAATTCAATACACCATACAACAATCACAGACAATGTGTTTTTGGAACTACCTTTAAGTTAATCCAGGCATATGGTAATCCAGTTGGTGTAGAAAAAGCAGGTAAAAAGCACCGCCCCAAATCTTCAGCAAGATTAAGCAGCTGGTTCTTGTAAGATCCTTGAACCAACCTGTTTGTGGAATCAGTTGCAAGAATATGAGCAGAAATAAGTCCTCCAAGAACTCTTATGTTGCACTACACATCAGAAATTAAATGAAAAGGGATATAATTAGAAATGCATCACATATGTTGATCTCGCTGAGAACATGACCTACAACTCTAAAAGATAAAATTACATACACCGGTATCAATAAGTTCCATATATGATAAATTAGATTATGAAGATCTTAAACACCCATCCAACTTAATTCTCTCTGCTTAAGAAGGCATCACATTAGATACCTCAAAAAGATTTATCCTGGCATCGATGTCGAAAGTCAGGTTTTCAGATAGCCATTTAACTGCCCTTTCAAATTCTGTGTTATTTCCCATTATAACAAGGCTGAGAAGAGCAGAAAAAAAATTATATCAGAACAAGATCTTGGCATAAGACACAACAAAATTCACATATATACAAGAGAAAACATAGCAGGTCTTATAGGCAACATTAATATATTGCTTACAAATTTGTTTTAGGTAGCAGGTTATATACCTGGACAATGATTCAATAAGTGAAAGGGCAGATCCATTATAGTTTTCCGGTAAGTGTTCGAGCTGCGAACCAAAGAAAAGATAGTTATTATCCCATTAAGTATTGTTATTCTCAAATAACAATATGTTACCTTTAAATTTCCGAGCTCGCTAAGAGAATCTGTGAAGCTTTTGGTTAGAGGCTTCAACTCATCATGCTGTAAAGAATTGAATATAATTCACTATCAAATGAAAAAAAAAACTATATACTCTGCCTCATAAAAATGAAAAGATTAACTGACCGGGAATGCATGTTCCATGTAGTTTTCATATGCATGATAGAACCTGCGGAGAAAAACAAAAGGCCTAATAATGATTTAAAAAGAATTCAATCTCAGAAGCACAAAAGTCAGATAATGGGACAAATTCAACCAGAACTTCATCTTCCTTTGATCACTGAATAATTTGATTTCCATGATGAGAAGTTCTAAAGTTTAAGGAAACAAACATGCTGTTTGTTGTATCGATTCCAATAAAAGTGAAAAAAATGTCAATTTTTATATTCCTTCTACATTTCCTCAGGAACCGAACATAAACAATCAAAGAAAAGAAAACTACAGATTGATCAATACCCATTAATCAAACACATAATTATGAAATGCCCAATAATTAAAATCGGTATTTGGGCTTACATCTTTCTAACTTTCTCTCTCATGTGTTTCTTCTTAGCTGCCCAAGGAGAATCAAGCTGAGACATGGAAGGAGCAAACAAGGTGGAAGAAACAAGGAGGAACAGGAGAAGGCAAGTTCCATAATTGCGAGATAACATGGCTTGGTTTGGTCTGGTCTGGCCTGTCCTTTGAATTTGGACAAGAATTTGAATTTGAAATTGTGTGAAGAGGCAAAGGAGGTAAATGGCGCTGTAGATCCGGGGAGGATTTTGATTCAATATTACTTGGGTAAACTATATAAATGATCACTGATATTTAAGTAAATTTCGTTTTTAATATTAACGTTTTAAAAATAACAATTTGATCATCGATACTAAAATTTGTAGAACAAATTGAAAATCTAGTGGCCTAACCTATATCGATTAGATGTAATAAGGGACCATATGAATTTGGGATTCGTAAGAAGAAACCTCATATGTAATATAGATTTGAATAGGGAAATAAATACACGAGACATTTCACTATTTGCTGATGTTCATCTTTTCCAATTAAACTCCATCGATGGAGTTGGAAAAGGAATCTCTATCGTTTTCAACACTTGGGATTAGGCCGTAATCAAATCGAACCAACACGAATAAGGGTATGTCCATGTTTGTTCGTTTAACTTTAATCGAACAAACGAATGAATACAAACAACTAAACTAACGGAATTTTTTGTTCGTGTTCGTTCGTTAAGGAATGTAGCTTGTTCGTGTTCGTTCATTTAATTAAACAAACATAAAATCTTGTTAATGTTTGTTAATAAATAAACAAACATAGACAAGCTTCCCATCGAACGGTTCGCTAAACGTTCGATTCATTTACATGTCTACTTAGGATGATAATTTAACTCAAAAATTGGCACATTCTGATCTAATTTAATTTAGTATTCATTTTTTAATTTAGATTTGGGTCGAGTCAAATTCAAATTCAAGGTGAAAATATCTGATATGATCTAACCCGATGCAATAGTATATTTTTCTTATATAAATTTGAGGATAATTACTATTATACCCCTCTATTTATACTTTTTCTTTAGTTAAGTCCTTATTTTTATATATTTATATCAGTTCTGGTTGAACTTTTATCCGAAAATTTCAAGTTAGGTCAGGTTTGGGCATAAAAATTATGCTCCTTGAATCGGGTGGAGAGTATATGTTTTTCTGGGTGATCGAGTTCAGATGGAATTTATATATATATTTCTCGAATCAAATCATTCCCTAAATTAAAAGACTAATTTGAAATATAACCTAAAATAGAGGCTATAATATTAACCTAAATTAATTTTAAGATTTAAATAAATAAATTGGAACCTCGAGCAAAAGCGGCGACCAAATTAAGAACTCTCATAATTTAAGGACTAAACATAAAATAAAAGTAATCTAAATTGGGACTGAAATGTTAAAATAAAAATCAAAACGGGTTTAATTTAAAAGACAAATGATATAACAAGGGCTAAGTTAAATGGAAATTAAAATTGAAGCCAAAATTAAAAACAATTAATGAATACAAAAGGACTAAATTGAAGAGGATAAAAAATGGAGGCTAAAATTAAAATATTGAGCAAGGACTAAAGTGTAACAAAAATAGAAAAAAAATAGCTAAATCAGAAATAGGCAGTGACCAAAATGAATAAAATAAAATAACAATAGCTAAATCAGAAATAAACAGTGATTAAATTAAAATAAAATAAAATAGAACGATAAAAGTGTAATAAATAAAAAAGGGATCCAATGACCAGAATGTGAAAACACGACAAACATAGGGGGACTAAAATAAGAATAACCCAAAAAGTAACAGGCACGCAAGAAAATATGGAAATTATAGAAACGGTCCCCCAAGTGACCATTTTGTAAAAACACGATAAAGGTAGGGGACCTCATCGTGATTTCCCCCCAAACTTTCCTTATAAATAACAACTTTTTTCTTTTTTTAATTTTAATTTTTTCATTTTTTTAAAAAAAAAAAGTAGAGAGAGGCTCTCCCATCTCTCTAGAAATCCGACCATCCCCGGCAGCCTAGCCCTCGTCGTTCGCCGGCCGTTGTCGTCCGCAGCGCCGCCACCGTCGCCAGTGGCCGTTGGCCACCAAGTTTTTAGGTCTCGCTCGTCTCGTGGCGGTGGTCACGGATCTGGGCTCCGTTTCGCATGGAACGACCTCCATCGCCGTGAAAATGGTCGAGACCGTTCGGCTTTCCCGGGCTCCAGCGACTCCTCTGACGACCCAGGTAACACTAGATCTATTACTATTTTATTTTTCGTATTTTTTTACTGTAAAAACAGTTGGATATTACTGTTGTTCGAAATAAAAAAGGCTTATTTTGCTTGTTATTTGATATATATATATATATATATATATCAGTGTTTTTAAAACGAAACTAAAATGTTTTTTATTTCGATGTCTAAAAGAAAAAAACTTTGTTTTTCACATAGATTCAAACCTGAAAGAGGTAAAAAAAACACCAAAAAAGAAAAAACAAAAATTACGCTATTCAAATATATATATAAAAAACAGAAAGGAAATAACCTTAAAAGATATCTGTTATTGCTTCAAAAAAGTTACAGTTTTTTCTTTTTAATTGCCGAGAGTTTTTACAAATTTGTGTGTGGGTTTTATACCTGTTTACATTGAAATTACATGATGGCTATTTTTGTAACATCCCAAAAGTCGGGTCAATGACCAAAATAGAATTTTTGGTAATTTTAGTGACTAATTTTAGAAAAGACTGGAAGTGGGGACTTAAATGAAAAGTATTGATGTTGAATTTAATAACAAAGTTTGAAAGTAATAAGGGTATTATGGTCATTTTTAGGGAAGATTTTTATTTTCCCTTTATAAAGGGTAATAAGCACGTGGGAAAGGAGATAATTTCTCCAGAGCCTTATTCAGTCTTCTTCTTTCTCCTCTCCACCGTGAAATCTTGTATAAGGTAAGTAGGTTTTCAGTTGGTTAATTCTTTCGTTTTAAAGCTTGTTTTGATTCTTGGGGTGTTAAGAAAGATTAAGGAAAGCTTCAGGTGGCTTAAAATTCAAAGATTAACAAGTTATGAGAAATTAAGAAAAATGAGTTTTTAAGTGAATATTGGAAATAGAAGGAGTTAATAGAGTTTGAAGATGAATTTGACTTGTCGATGGTTAAATTACGGAATATGAAGTGTTAGAATTAGATTTAGAACATGTTGGAAATTGAATATAATTCTTGAATGACATATAAAGGATAGGATGTTGAGTTTAAAGAAGTGATTATTGAGTAGAAATGAGTTTAAGTGTTTGTATGAAAGTTAGGAATATTAAAGGAGGTGAAAGATGAAGAGTTGAGATGAAAAGAGAGTGAATTTCGTGCATAAAATGGAATTTTTGGGTTGTGTGCATCGATGCATCTTCAATGTGTATCGATGCACTCTCAAATAAATGAACATCGAATGCAATTAGTGCATCGATGCACCCCCTTAAAATACAAACATCGAATGAGATTTATGTACCGATGGATAGATAGTGCATCGATGCACTCATCAAGGGATGCATCGATACATGGTGTAGTGCATCGATGCATACCTTCATTAAAAGATGAAAATAGCTTTCTTTTTAGCCTAAGGAGCAATAGTTTAGAATATATCATTTCGTATGCTGATATGTATCAATGTATTACTATGTAGATTTAGAACGTAATTTTGTTCCGGAATAATCGAAAGATTAGGATCGAGTCAACGCAAGCAAGGCTAAGGTGAGTGCGTATTAGTTGGTATATTATGATGAATGGAAATAAGACTTACGACAAGTCTATTTCCTATAATAGCATACATATAAGCATGTTATTGATATGGGCATAATTATGATATATTATTGTATATGTGGTATGATCTGTGTGAATGTATGTTATTGTTATGTGATTAAGATATCAATCATGTGATAATGAATTGTATGGATATATGGAAGGTGAAGTAAGCTAAAGTATGTGACCATATGTATATAAGATAAGCCATGTAGATATGATTTATGAGAGTATAAGTGATATGATTGCAAGATTTCAAGAGATAAACCATATGATATGAGTGATATGATAAGAACCTATGTTTATGTGATATGGCTATGTAAATATAGGGTAAACATAATAATGATGCCCATGTTACGTGACATGAGAGCTAGAGGTATAGTTGGCATACCAAGAGTCGAGGGTTCTACGTGGTCCTTCGGGACATATATGTAATTCTGTGGAACATATATGTGGTACTTCGGTACTCTTATTTGGTCCATTGTATTATGTGTATGGTTCTTACGGAGTTGTCCTTCGGTACAAATCAGTGGTCCTTTGGGACATAGTGGTCATTCGGGACAAATATACAATACTCCTAGTGGGAATTTATTCAAGCTGTGGTGACAGCATCAGTGCACAACCTCAATGAACTCTCATATCTTTAGTTCTCCAAGATATACATGGGCCAATAAAGAAATAATATACAGAAACTTAACATGATGGTCATATGTGATTGAACATTTGGATGTGAATGTATGAGTTTCATTTATTGCATATATGATATGTTTTATGTGAAATATGTTGATATGATATATGGGAATGTAAGTGAATATAATATAATTATATGATATGTTAGAAGTAATTTCATGAGAAATCTAGTGAACGCTATATACATATATATATACATAGATAATGAAGTGGTGAACTATATGATTAATGAGAATTGAGACAAAGCATATAGTATATTAATTGAGGAAAAATGTATATAAATAAGTATAAAAGGATATTAGATAAGTTGTGTAGGAAGGTATATACGTTTAAAATAGAACTGTGAACCAACCTTGCTAAATTAGTAAGGGATATAAAATTTAGTATAATAATCTAAGAAATCATATGAGAATATCAGAGGAAACAAATGACAATAAGTTATGCAAATGTATGTTTATTAAATGAAGATTTGGTGAGGAATGAATTAAGAGAATATAAGAAATTATGATATTAGAATATGTAACGAGAATTTATGGGTGAAATGTTAAATAGAAACATATAGAAAGGAGAGATAAGATATGTAGGATTGCGATCAAAATTACAGGATTAAGAATAAGGTAAGTAAACGATTTAAATGAAGATAGTAGAATGTGATATAAGCTAAGTAGTGTAAAGTAAATGATTATAAGAATATGAAATAGTAAAACTCATATGTGATATTATAAGGTTTGTGTATGTATG